CTCTTCCGATCTATGCATACACTTTATGCGCTTATGCATCAAATGTATTTATGGACATCGCTATTACAGCATTGTGATTGGAAAAATATAGATTTTTTCACAAAATAGGCATTTACCGATAATATCCATATAATTGAGAGAAATAATAATTTATTTTTACAAAATCGTTATCCGTCCGGTAAAGGATACACTGTAGCACTCTGTTAAGTACAAAAACGTCTCCTGATCGTCGTGTAGCGAAAAAATATACTTGGCGGGAGACGCTACCGCGTCTCCTGATTTCTCTCTATATTTTCTTGGCAAATATGATGTAGTAATGATTATTATAGTTATTTCGCAAAATAGTATTTAGTGGCTTGTCTCAATGTTGTGTTCTGAAATGCTGATTTTGTTACATGTTTTAATTTAACATCACGTTGATGTTTTTTCATACTTAGATTGACCATTCTCATTTTCCCAATATATACTTTGCCATAGGAATAAGGTATTTTGTACACTCTTGCAGAACTGATTGGGGGTCTTGGGTATTTAAGATTTTTCAAAATTTATCTTTTTAAAGAGTTTGAAAATAAAATTGGATGTTGTACTTATTCAGGATCCTATTGATATGATCTGTTGTTCCTTTCAGAGATTGGAGAATGGAAAAAGTTTTTTTGTTTGTTATATCTTGCGATGACTGTGTGTTATTGCCTTATTTAAGTGTTTGCTGATTATTTTATTTATATATTTTTTGTTGTGTTTGTTCTATTGTAAGTTATTTGTCTCAGATGCTGCACTGAGCATTATTTGTAGAGGTTCTTTGTCAGAGGCAGCCAAAGTCCTATGCACGAGTGAGTTGATTGCTGACTTTTTGTGCTGGGTGATGGTGTGACTCAGACTGTAAGTATCTGTCTGTGTGTGTTGGTTTGCTGTACACTTGATGGCCTAAAGTGCCGTCAGCTTTTTTTGGTTACAAGAAACATCCAGGATAAGAATTTTCCATTTTCTTCTATGTCTACGGTAAACGGATATTGGGATGTTGGTTGTTAAGTTAGGAATTGCGTAAGGAAAGGAGGGGCAAATAGTGATTTTCTCCTCTCTTCCCTACAAGCTAATTTCACAAATTTACAAGATATAATTTTTCACTAAGAGTACTTTTCACTTTCAAATATACAAAAAACTTAATTAGAGTTTCCATAAGTCATGTATACAGGATTTTTGCTAGATTTTCATAAAAACTGAAACCTACATTTATTACCATTTGCCCCAGCCTATGAATAAGTGACAATTATACAAAATACATAATTCTTAACTTCTATTCGTATTTTCTTTTAACATTTTGATTAGATAAGGTAATTTGTATTAATTTCTATACTCTGCCATATGTAAATTTTTATTTATTGATAAATAATAGTGGTAATATTATTTACCTACGCTCTTAGCTTTTAACGATATTTTTTTATAAATTTTAATTTATATACAAATATACATATAAATTTTTCTATTTTAGTAAAAAATTTAAGAAGACGGATTATAAAATAAAAAGAATTATACATGTTTAAAAATCTTTTTATCGCAAAAAGTAAGAAAATAAAAATAAAATAAAAAACAAAACAAATTTTTGGCTGGTTTTTGCAAAACTAAACTAATATTT